GTGTTTACTTTTTTAAGCCATATTAAGATAATATGAGGAGTTGCAATAGAGGGTGGCTCAAGAGGTGGGCAGGTCTACTTATCCATGGCTCCTCCAACATCCATGCTGAAATGTCTTTGGGCAAAGTACTGAACCCTGATGCATCTGTCAGAGCGTTTGAGCGTTAAGTTAAAGGTGCTTAGTGTTGTATGAATGCGTGTGAATAGATGAAATTTGAAATCTAAGGCTCAAACCAAGAACCCAAATATTCAAAGTTTTGACTGCCAAATCATCTTTTCTCATCATTTTAAAAATGCATACCCGTGGTATGTGAAGACTGAAAACTTGATCAACTTGGCAATGAATATACTAGCATGTGTTTCTCATTCCTGGCTGCACTGATTTATTGCCAATGTGTCCATAAATTTTATGAGTTTAAACAGCAGCCTTGTGATAAATATCTTCAGAAATCTGAACATTATAAAATATTTCTGTTTCCTGCCCTTATAGTCCACCTCCAATGGTTTAATCATTAGCCAAATCAGTCACATACCTCTACGCACTGGACCACTGTCAAGCTCAAAGTGTTTACCAAGGACTGAGGGAATAAAAGTGATGTATGCTCAACATATGCAAACACACTCAACAGCAAACACAGAACTACCCTTCTGAATTTCTTAAACAAAGGAAGGAATGGAGAACTTTGGGATATGGGCGACAGACCCAAAATAGACCCAAACCCTTTGAAGCAGCTGTTCTAGACGTTGTCCTTCTTTAGGTATGCTCGGGTCCAGGTTGTCTGGCAATAAAGTCATTACTGGACTAAATATTTAACTATACACTATTCCCCAAGCTCTGTGGTGAGTTGTTCTGGGCTAGCCAGTTGTAATTGTCGCTCAAGCTAATTATTATTATTTAAATAATTTCAACAGACATAAATATGATAACGCATTAGATTTTGAGTTTTAATATACGTACACCATATAACTCACATAATATATGTATATACATAACATAATTTATTTTTTTTTAAAGTGTGGACATTTTGTAAAAAATGATTATTATGTTGACGTTATATCGGTATCTATGAGCTTATTTCCGAAGAATGCTCATTACCAGCTTTTTTTTCTTGAGCTCACAGTTCAAAACTATTCTTATATTTCTTATATGAGGGGAGTTATTATTTCATGTCAGTGCGAGCCTTAAAACATCAAACCCATCTGAGCCTAAACAGTAACACAGGAAATCACACACAGTATTTTTTTAATACTTTTTAATAGTATTTTTTAATACTAATATCTGTACTTCTACTTAAGTACAGAATCTCTGTACTTTTTCCACCTCCGGTGACCTGATAATTTAAAAACTTGGTCATGTTTATTATAAACATCCACCTAATTGCTCGATTGAACAGTCTAAAACATGTTTTACCAAATCCTGATTTCTTGTTTTTTTTGCATATTTGTCACAATGAAACTTTCATGAAACTTTATTTTTTTTTATATTAGATAGAGAACCTAAATAATACAAAATACGTTTTTTAAATGATGATTTCATTTTCATTTAAGTCGACAGGTTCTTTTTAAGTGATTTCTTGATACAGCAGGTCTGGCAGTAATCAGGCCTGGATCTGGCTAGTGAAATTGGTGGATAAGCTTTCCAAAAATATAGTTAATGACAGGTAATTCATCATTTAATAAAAGGGGGGAAATTACTTCTTTCACACAGAGCCATGTAGGTTTGGATAAAAACAAAATAGGACCTCCTTTTACCCCCGTTACCTTATATATTATTGGTTTAGCAATACTCTATTAAAATTTGTTTTGATACCATCCATGTGGCATCAGGAAGTTTGTTCTTTTGAGTATTAAATTAGACTAATCTGGGAGTTTTACTCTAAAAATAAAAAGAACAATAGAAGATCATTTCCGTAAACATGAAATGGTGTGTAGTATATTGTCTTGCCTTTTGTGCCTGCTTGTGTTTTTGCAGATTCTTGCATATGTTGCATACTGGTGATCTCAGAAAGCGGTATGAGTGTCCACCATTTGATACCAAAATAGCGTTTCTTAGTTGTTCTGAGGGCCTGTGAGTGGCCCCGAGGGACCGCCATATTCTTTTTACTCAAATATAACTCTATTGTCAGGTCTGGTCCTTTCATATGGTGCAGATGGAGAGATGGTTTAGATGAAAAGAAGTCTAGAGAGAGTGAAATGAGATGTGGAGCTGCGCATGACTGCACTGCAAGAACAACCTCTGTGTCGGCTGTGCAGGGACGTGCATATATGCGCATGCGCAAGTGTTTCAAAACATCCATCTGTGCACTATTTGCATATTGCTCTTTGGAACAAGAACCTAGCACGCATGATGAAATGTGTTTTAGCATTTACCTAGTTCTTCGAAGAAAGCTGTATTTCTTCTTCATGTGGAAATGAGCCATAAGATCAAGCCTGGCAAAGATACAGTAAAAGTGTATACACTAACTCTTGCCTCATGGGAACTGAAACATAAGACAGCCACTCTTTCTCGGGACAGTCGATCCTTTGTTTTGGCTTTCGGGATGGAGAGGGGAGTGGTGGGGTGTGTACCTGTCAGAACCTGAGAAGCTGAATCCTTATCAGACACCCGAGTGGATTTTTTCCCAGATTACTCAAATACATGTTCAGAGGGAGAAACAAACTGAGAGGGGAGAGGTATTCAGTGTAAGACTGACAGTTTTTTTTTCCTTTTTTTCTTTTCTTTTATTAATAGCGCTCTTTTATCTAAAAGCAGAGTTTACAAAGTGCTGTCAAAACAGGAAAAAATTATGAATTTGGAAAAGGTGGGCAAGTTAAAGACTCATTCAAAATAGAGATGATAAAAATATCACCAGAAACAGACAAAAATAGGGACTGGAGAAGAGGCGAAAGAAGAGTATGAAAGATGTTAATGTTTAGCTTCTTGTATACTGGTTAACTATTCGAGAGCCAAGGGTCATATTTTTCCTTCCGTTACCTTGGCCAGCCTTGGGCCTTGTTGTAATGCCACCCATGTCGGGACTTTTACGAAAAGGCAAGCATAAATAGTGCCATTAATGTTATTGTTTGTATTGTTTTTATTTTAAAAAATAAAGCCTAAAATATTTTTTTGCCATCTTTTGCTCTCCACGGCATTCAAAATGGTACTGAGTATTTTACTGGTTATCAAGTTTGAAATTATAGTACTGTTAAAAAAAACCCCCACAGATGCCAAACTTATTTTACATAGAGGGTCACATACAACCCACTTTGATCTTAAGTGGGCCAGACCTTTTAGTCTGTCACAAAGTTTAACCATGCATTTAACTACCCATTGTAAAAAACAAAAATAAAACAACAACAAAAAAACAAACCTGAAATTTCTATTTCTTAATCGTTTTCTGTTATATAATATATTATTTACTTTTTAATTACTTTGGTGATTCTGGCCCCTGGGTCTTGTATTTAGCATCCCTGCCCTACTCATTTCTGGTTGTGAAATTTAAAAGTGATAACTTACCAAATTGTATCAAAAGAAAAAAAAAATTAATCTAGAGCTTGTCTAACATGCTAGTCTCGCATCAGTGTCCTTTCAAAGATCACAAGCATTTGCAGACAACCAGAAAAAGCTGCTGGCCTCAAAGCAAAGTTAAGCCTTCTTCCAAAGATAATAGCTGACTGCAGTTACAGAATGGCAGTAGTTTAATGGATGGCACAAACAGGCAGAAAGGGAAGCTTATGGGTTGTAATGCTGTTTGCAATGCAAGGACAGTGATTGCTTTCACTTTGGTTTTAATTGAGCTCTGTTTTTAGATTTCATGAGGCAAGCAGTGCCTGTCTTGCTTGCCGTGGTGGAATTGTACTGCATTGTATGATGGTGACAGCCAAAACACAACAATGTTTTTGTTTCAAAATTGACCTTTGTGTGATGTAAAAAGTTAGACGGTCAGCATTTGCTTTTTTGTAAGTGACATGATAACATTGATATCATTTAAGCCAGGAGATGCTTAGCTCGTCTTAGCTCAGCCTTGCTTAGCTTAATAGTTAAATATGCAACCTAACAAAAATTTGCCTACTAGCACTTTTAAAGTTTGCTAATTAAGATGTAATATTTTTAAATTTATTTTTTGAACTTTGGTATGGATTGGATGGAGTCCAGGAAGTCACCACAGCAAGTAATCCATAGTGTAGCACCCCATACAAATGTGTACTGCAACTTTAAGTCCCCAGCCTTTGTTCTAAACTCGCTGTGGATCAGGGCCTAGCCTACTGCAGTGCATTGACAGGGTCATGGCTGCTATGACTCCTAAAGCATCTTTATCATAGCAGTGGTGTGTGCATAATGAAATTAATGCATCCATTAATATTATAATTATAATTTAGAATTGCATGTTCTCTTTGCAAATTAATACAATAATTATTACATTACTATGAAAATTAAATTTCTTCCCTCCAGTGGTGATAAGAGCATAACTGAATGTAATGCTTTGTTGTATGCCTGTACTCTTCTTTGCTCATTTTAATAAGGGCACTCTATTTATTTATTTATTTTCAATGAAGATGCATATCCAAGGCTGAGAAAACAGATGCATGTTGACGATCTGATACCAAGAATATGCCGATTAAAATCTTGTGTGTAATATATTTTATCTACTCGGTTCATGAGATTGTATGCAGCATAAGTAAGCTCACTTGTGGGTGGCTGTGTGTCAGAGAGAGCTGATGGGAGTTGACTTGAGGTAGCTGGTGTGCCATTTTGCATCAGTACAACCTGAGGGGAGCTATAGGGATCAGTGTCTTGTGTATGTTTAGCACAGACGCCCTGCAGGTATGCCTCAGGCTGAGAGCAAATCATTATTCATTCTTCTAAACTGCATGATGCAACACTGTGTCAGCTTGAATAACAATTTGATGTGTAATGAGCCTAGTGTGGTATTACTGAAAAAATTAACCAGCTTTTATTAACATCCTCTTTGTTTCTCTGTTCCTCTTCTATTTCTCTACTTCCTGTCTTCTACTTAACAGAGGAAGCTGATCATGGAACATTTGGTACCGATTCCCTGACCAGGAAGAAGAACACTGTGCTTTCTGCGGTTCTTCTGCGGCCTGATCACAACAAGAAAAAACCTCCAGTGATAATCAGCCTCCCTAAAGACTTCCGGCCTGTATCGTCCATCATCGACGTCGACATCCTCCCGGAGACGCACCGACGTGTTCGTCTGTACAAGCACGGCCAGGAAAAACCACTGGGTTTCTACATCCGTGATGGTTCCAGTGTACGGGTCACCCCACAGGGCTTGGAGAAAGTCCCAGGAATATTCATCTCTCGCTTGGTGCCAGGCGGGCTTGCGGAGAGCACCGGCCTACTGGCGGTTAATGACGAAGTGCTGGAAGTGAATGGTATCGAGGTTGCTGGGAAGTCGCTGGATCAGGTGACAGACATGATGATCGCCAACAGCCACAACCTCATCATCACCGTAAAGCCTGCCAACCAGCGGAACAATATCGTTCGTAGTGGAGTAGGCGGAGGAGGGGGTGCAGCATCTGGTAGTTCAGGACGCTCATCAGACAGCGGCGCCAGTTACTACGGCTACTCGTCACACAGTGCTGCAGCCTCCATACCACCACACATCATCCAGAACTTCCCTGTTGGGGAGTTGGAGAGCGATGAAGATGAAGAGGACTTGGTAATTGAGGCTGGAGGCGAGGCTGAGCCAATCAGACATGTGGCCTCCAACCACAGCATGAGCTCACTGCCTCGTTACGAACCACACCTCAACCTCCGCACCGCCACCACTTCCACCTTCTCCATTAACACCAATGGGACCCTGCCCACCAGCGGCAGCAGTAGTTCCCTAAGCAACATCAAGGCTACAACGCCGTCCCCAGACAGAGCCATGGAGAGGGGGAGTTTGGAGGAGGACGGTACTGTTATAACGCTGTAGACTGGACATCCTGGACATTTTACACACTACACACTGGAGACCAGAGAAATAAACACTCTTGTACTTTAACACAGATGGAGGGTTGATGGAGAAATCAAATAAAACCCAGGAACATACAGTTCCATCTCACAGTGACTAAACCTGAGAAGCACAAACATACGTCTGCGTATTACATCTCGACCTACTAAATTTGTCCTTTCACATCAAACACTACACCCCCATACTTTGCTCTTCTGAATGCCAATGACCACATATTTGTGCCATAGCAGTGACAGCCCCCATTCCTGGTTCTGCAGCCACAAAAACAACAACAGAAAAACCCCCTGAAAATGTCCACTGTTTCTGTTTATTCTAAACGCACCTGTTTTTAATCCCATAACTGTTATTCCGCCGAACTTCCTTTAGCGGGCAGAAATAGGAAGCCCATCCATACCCATCACATATTTCCTCTTTTTAAGTCGTGCTAACAAGCTAATATCACCCGTAAAGCAAAAATTGTCCCTCACAAGGCACAGCAAACAACTATGCTGAGCTATATATATATATATATACAATTTTTTTGGGGGGGAGGAGAATCCCATATAGAAGAAGTATTGTTTTCTTTGTGCTGGCTCAGATGGCATTAAACACTGCCGTCTATACTTGATGTGACAATGACTGATAATGAAAGATTGGTGATTTTGATAAATATTTGCACATCTTGTCCTTGGGCTTTTCCTATCCTGTTTTTATTATTATTATTATTATTATTATTATTATTATTATTATTATTATTAATACTTGGATCCCGCAAGTGACAGTGCTGTTTTTTATTTGACCAGTTAGAAGTTGTTGGACTAGGAAATCTTCTAGTTAATTTCCCTGTTGTATTTCATTCATATTGAACTTTTCCTTATCACGACAAGGGCTATTTCCCCTGCTGCATATATACAGAAGAAACGATGTGAATGGGATTTTTAATTTAGTTTGCAATAGTGTTCCCCTCTTCCTTCTTTTTGGACCATAACTCAGTACATCTAATCTCAGTGCCGTCTCATTGCAACATGTTTTGCTTTTCATTGTATTATTATTGAATTCAGTTAATCACTTAAGATAATGTAACTTAACAACTGTCTTTACAGTGGCTACTAAGGACCCAAAGCACTTTACACAACCAGTCATCCACCCATTCACACACACATTCACACACTGGTGATGGCAAGCTACATTGTAGCCGCAGCTGCCCTGGTGCGCACTGACAGAGGCTGACATGAAGGAGTGGGTTAAAATGAATGGCTCACATAGTCAGAAGTGAAAAACTTCCTGGTTCCAAAGTACGCCCTTGTAGGACTGAGTCACGGTGAAACAAACACACACGCAAGGCAAAAGCTGATTCACTCTCTGTATTTGATAAAGGTGAGGCAGGGCTGGCTTGTGTACAGAATATCTTGGCCCTGACCTGCATTTTTGTGGTTTCAGTAGGATGATTTCTTGTCTGTAATGAACGTCCGTTTACTTTGATTTTTTTCTACCATTCAGTTTGAATTCACTCAGACATTTCACAATGTCTGAGTGAAGAAGTAACTCTCACAGTTCCTGTTCATAAAGCAGATCCACAACATTTATTGAAAGCACACTATAGATCCACCATTACCATTACAAGCTGCTGCCTCCCTGAAGTGAGAGCAGATGGTCTATTATTTCTTTCATTGATTTTTTTTTCCTGTTAAAAGTTTTAATCCTGACTTTAGCATGGATTTTATCTCACCCACAATATCATGGCTGGCACACACTGCACTTCCAGTGAAACACCACTGCACTGTTTATCATTTATAGCTCTGTTTATTGTTTATTACACAGTGAATCATTGACTAGAAACCTTCACACAGGTTGTGTATAACCACCCACTTGTTTATTGTAACTTATATGTGTAAGGTACTGTGTTTTGGGCCTTTTTATGGTACAGCACATGCTGGTGGGACTTGTCTTCTTTCATTCCCGATCTTAAAGCACAGCGATGAGTCGTACTTTGGATGGAAGGCTTTTAGAAGTCACTGTTAATTTATTTCCTCTACTTTTACCACAGGACACTGGGATTGTAACCACAGCAACATTTTTATTTATTCTCTAATCAGATGTCGGCATATTTTTCTTTCTTTGTACACATTTTATGACTTTATTTTTATAACTGATATATTGTTTATCTGTGATTGTTGTTTTTGGTCATAAATCTCACGGTACAGTAGATTTTTATTGTCCATTAGAGATGATTTCAGTAGGTGATTTTACGGTTCTGGCTGAAGCAACAGGAGAGTCTGTGCAAGACATGACACCATTATTGTTTTGTTTTTTTTCATACTGTGAATTATGATTTCTGTGGAATAAAAACATGTATTAAAGCAACCTTGAAACAGGCTAAATGTTTTACTCTGTCAGAAATTTTTTAAGTGATTGAGCAATGATTGTTGCTTGCCAGATAAATTCTATGTTTTAGACTTGTAATGAAGATTGTCTGTCAGTATTTTCATATTGATGCTTTTATTTATCTATATATATACCTGTAACTGCTGATTGGAGGAACTGGATAAAATATAAAATAAACTAATATGTAGCAATAGTCAGTGGTTGGATTTTGTTGCGGCCTAAATCAAGGTTATGGAAGCTGGGGGTCTGTCTACAAATAAAAACTGTTACAAGTGGCTGAATTTTTAACCAATTTGCAAGCAGGTCTTATTAAAAATTCAGTTGCTGTTACATCCTGCTTGGTTCTTGTTCCCTCCTGTGCTGCTCCAATTTAAAAAAAAAAAAAAAAAAAAATCCTGAAGATGCCACTGACCTGCTTTTCAGGTAGTATGTGCGGTAGATGAACTGAGTAGCATTCATATAAATACTTTGTGGAGTTTGGGCGCCATCTGCAGGATATTCCAGGACGTGAGCGAGCTTAATATTCAACATGAAAATGAGTATTTTAACTTAAGTTACAGAACTCGAAGTCTTTGAAAACGGAATGTTGATCATTTATTATGTCTGATTCGAACAATATACATTTTTCTTCCATTGATACAACTCTATTTAACTAGGTTTGAGCGATTACCTGAGGTGCCGTTGTCAAAATCCACACAGCTGAGAATCACGTGATGTGACATGACGTGTACCCAGCATGGCGGCGCTGAGTTGAGGTAGCAGCTCTACTGGACGTACTGTGATAGCCTGGTTTTCATTAGCTTTTCCTTGTCACCTGCTAATTCGCAGGACCAGGCCGAAGATGACGGCCTGAGAGAGGAGCGGCAACAAGATCGAGAGATGCAACAACACCGGCCACCGCAGCAGCAGCAGTACTCGCAGTCGAAGGCAGAAAACAGCAAAACCAAGAGCATGTTTCTGTCCAGGGCGCTGGAGAAAATCCTCTCGGATAAGGAGGTGAAGAGGAGCCAGCACAGCCAGCTGCGTAAAGCCTGCCAGGTGGCGCTAGGTAAGTGGGTTTGTTATGAACATTGGCTCGCCGAGCCTTATGTTTCTGTCGCGTTGCATTGAAACATTTCGCTCTGAGGTCTGCCTTTATGGTAGAGATACCCAGTTAGCTAGCGTTAGCAACTGAATGGCCTTTATCGCGTGTTTGGTTCCCCGTTTATGTTTACAGACAGATAATTATGTGTTGACACCATTCTCACTCTCAATTATAACCTTTGTTATGTTGATATCCGGCCACAGCCGCATTCTAAACGGACATCGGCAGGGTAACATGCTAACGTAGCTAACTGACGTTAGCTAGTTGTAGCTAGGTTAGCTAGTTAAACAGACCAATCCCTGTCTTGTACGTAGCACTGTCAACTAGCCAGACAGCCTGGTCCGGCTGTACACGCACACACGCTACCTAACTCCAGGATATTCTGACGTTGGTTCTTTTCCATTCAACCCAGTCACAGATAGTGTTGCACACGCCGAGCTGTTTACTTCATTACGGCACTGCTGTGTGTATTTCAGCTCAGACTGCTCTGCCTGTTTGTGTGACAGTCAGCGACCAGTGTCTTATTGGACTTAAAGACATTAAAAGCTGCCCGGAGTGTGGTGTTGCTTTCTAAGGTGCTTGTCTCTGTCGGGTTTTTTTTGTTTTGTTTTGTTTTTTTGCTAGGTCATTGAGAAATTGGGGAAACAACTTGTGCCACAATATTAGGGTGCAGGCAGTTTAAGGACGTGTTTGAGTGGTGGTGGGCGAGGCGGGGCTGCTCTGTGTGCTCTCTGGCCGTGTTTGACTCTCATATGTGACACTTGAACACAACACGTGTTCCCTCAACGCCTCACGGCTGTGTTTAGTGTGTTCCCGATATTCAGTCAATGTGGCCTTAGGCAAGTCTCATGAATACCTCAGTTTTTTTTCCCCTCACTGCCACAAATACCTTGTTCTGAAAGCTAGGCTGTCTTGCATTAGTTTATACAGTACTGTGCAAAAGTCTCGAGCCACCCCTCATTTCTTTATGTTTTGCATGGGAAATGGGTGCAGCAATTTAAACTTGCACAAACATAAATAAAAACTACAGGATATAAGGTGGAAACAGAGTTTGTGCAACTCTCATGAGCTTAAAAGTCACTATTTGCTGTGACCATCTTTATTTTTCCACGCTCTCTCAACTCTCTTAGACGAGCTTTCTTGGCATTTCTCTAACCAGTCTTTGGGAATAATTGTCCAGGCTTCTTGAAGCGTATTCCTAAGCTCTTCTTTGGATGTTGGCTGCCTTTTGATCTCTTCTCTGTCAAGATCATCCCACATTCCAAAAATAATGTTTAGGTCGGGTTTTGTGGAGGCCAGTCTGTGACTGATAGTGTTCCATTGTTTGTTTTTCTGTCCTGATATGGGTAATTTGGCAGCCTTTTCCACTTAAACCAATTCTAATGAGGCTTCAGCAAACAGTAGGTGGATTAACTGAAGGGCTGGGGTCAGGTGTATCTCTCAGGTCTTGTGTCAGGTCTGTGCTGCAATTTCTCATTTTCTTAAGGACATTATTGTCAGATACTGTTTATTTTTTAGCCCTCCGCCTTCTTCTTTTGTCCTCTACTTGTCAACTTTCCTCAAATCCTTTAAGGACACAATGCACAACATGGTGAAATATGCAAAGTTTTTGGGTTATAGTTCTGTGGGAATTCCATTGTTGGTGCAATAATTCTTTGTTATGTCTGTCAAACTGTGGTATCATTGGCATTTTTCATAGATTCCCCTAAAGAAATGAAAACAAATTGTGTTTTTGGCCCAATTTAAAACCGGTTCTTTGCTAAGTTGTCATGTGTAGACAAAAAGCTAGTTCAGCCCTTGAGTTAGGTGCCTTCTTATGCTTGAATAAGTCACTGGTCAGTGTTAAGTGTCTTAACAAACAAAGGGTTCAGTGGTGGCTCAAAACTTTTGCACGGTACTGTATTTAATGATGAACTAGGTATGCTGAAAGAGACGATCGTTGTCAGCAGCAGCCACGTGACTAAAAAAGCGTGTGAGTATTATTCATACCTTTTTATATATTTATGTGTAGTACTAATTTATACACTGGAGGAATGAACTGACCTCACATCACATTCTTACTGTGTGAAAAGGAAGGAGAATCGTATGTTTTTGTCACCATTTAAAGTATATTAGTCTAGAATAGTGATTATGACATTTGTAGTGAGTGTTGCACATACTAATTTCCTGTGTGTAGCATATAATGCTACTACAATTTATGCTCAACTTAGTAACCCCTGGATCAAGAGTCACGCAGCGGTGTGGTGTGGCAGCAGTGTGCT